TGAAAACTGAGCTCCATTAGGGGATTTATGGTCCCCTGATAAAGACTTGCTAATGGATGAGCCAGTCTGATGTGATATACCAAATTAACCTCAACTGACTTCATACTACATGGGAATATTAAGTCATGTAAATGTTTACAATACATTAGGCATATTAAGTCATGTTAGGGTATCTTCAAAACAATAAAGCCATTGCCTATGATACAATGACATAAGTCATGCCAATGTCTTTAAAATGATAAATGGTATTCATAAAATATACAATACTAAATAAATGACATTCAAATCATGACTATATGATGTTAAGTCATGTTAAAAAAACAACTGTCACACAAATAATAGGCTACAATGACAATATTTGCCATCCAGGCTCTATTTATCTAAGCTGCATTAAACCTATGTGCGCCACAGTAACAACATCTCTAAAATAAAATTAATTAATTTATTATTTCTGTCTTCATCTTTTGTTTGGACTCCATCCTCCCTACTGTAGTATACACCAAGTGCGACACCAGGTAGGCTACATCTACTGTCCCTTTAAATAGAACAAAAGACAGAATATTCGAGAGGACAAGAGATGCATAATGCGAAAACAAAAGTATCCTTGACTTACCATCAGCGAACAAGTCATAGACATTTTCCCAGGCATCGTCCCAATGGAATCACTCTTGTTTAAATATGCCCAGGTCCACATCTGTTACTTTTCGGCTTCATAGGTGGAGCATCAGCATCTCCGCATCAACAGGACACCCACATTGTTGTGAGGTATTGTCCCTTTGCTGGCTTATTCCCTCAGTGCACAAATTTCGTCCACTGACGCCTTTTTATAGTCTGTTGCCCGGGGTGGACGGGTTTCAAGTAGTAGGGGATAAGCGCTTCGTTTTGGAAGAAGAACGCTATAATTCCCATAGCGATGATGGATGGATCTGTGGACTGAAGTCTGGCTGCTGTTTGTCCAGGTTACGGATTCTCTTCCCTGTGCCGCAAAGACGAGCTGCGGATGATGGGCGGGAACTGGCGACACACGTCACGAGCGAAACTCGCCACTGGCTCATATTCGCCGTATCACAGGCCTGATCCGAGACGGTTTCCGGGAAGATACTGGGGCTGCTGTAGTGTAAAGTGTGCAGTAGTGGACCCTACAGGGCTTTTTAGACTAAAAAGTTGTTGCACAGGTGTACCGGGCGTACCGGGTGTACCACACAAAATTAATTATTAACATTTTGGCACACATTGTGGCAAATCATTACAGTAAACTGGACAATGTGACTTTATAACTTATCCTTACTCCATTGGTCAAAATGAAATAATGTTTTGTTTTTTTTAAATGTTTTTGTTTGAAGTCGCTTATGCTCACCAAAGCTGCATTTATTTATTTGATAAAAAATAGTAGGCTACAGTAAAAACAGTTAGCCTATGTTGTGAAATATTATTAAAATTTTAATATAGCCTATTTTAAAATTAATTTTATTCCTGTGATGCAAAGCTGCATTGTCTGCATCCATTATTATTATTATTATTATTGTATTATTATTATGGCAAATTTTAACAAACATAAGATACAAAGACAGACAAACTTTCAAACAATAAACAAGTTGGTCATTCTATGGTTTGGTGCACAGTGTACATTTTGAAAACAGTTAATGAAACTGCTTAATATTTTTCTGGAAACTGTGATACATTTTTTTTTTTATTCTTTGATTAATATAAAGTTCAAGAGAACAGCATTTATTTTAAATATAAATATTTTGTAACAATATAAATGTCAACTGTCACTTTTGAGCAATTTATATGGTCCTTGCTGAATAAAAGTATTAATCTCTCCTTTTTTAAACTTTTGAAAAGTGTATCACGGTTTCCACAAAAATATGAAGCAGCACAACTGTTTTCAACAATATTATTAAATGTTTTTTGAGCAGCAAATCAGCATATCAGAATGATTTCTGAAGGATCACACACTGAAGACTGGAGTTATGATGCTGAAAATTCAGCATTGCATCACAGGAATAAATTACATTTTAATTCAAACACAATATATATATTAAAGAATAAATAAAATAATCATAATAAATTACAAGTTAAAATATAACTAAACTATATACATGCGTCCATGAATACGTATTATATAGGAATGTTTGTATGCATGGCTACACTGTCCAGTCTCATTTGCATTCTTGTTTGAAAGAAAGTGCCGCATTCAAACACTCATTGTAAAGCCTCAGACATATGCAAACAGAATGCTCTTCTGTGTCACTGGCACAAGGACAGGAGATCATTTCCAGTGTGTCTCCGTCTCAGACAGGCAGAGCTCAGAGGCCACTGGCAGATGAAGAGAGCACCATCTGGACAGGCCGACACGTGCAACTGAGTGCTAAAAGGATGAAACGGGGAAATGCTCTCACGTGCCACACAGTTTCTGCCCCGGGAAATCACTAAGTGGGTTGACTTAGATGATAGGGTAAGAGAAATGCCTCGGTCTGACTAACATTAGTGCATCCATGCTGAAATGTACAACAATATGGCTATTTGTACCACACACCACCTAGTGCTATAAACAAACAATATTCTACCAGCACTGGATTTCTTTTCCATTTTACTAGATATATTTATGTGGGCTGACACTAGATTATTTGTTACTCAGCATTTTCTGCAGAATGTAAAGGGATAAAGAGAGCATCTGTATCTCAAGTGTTCACAAAATATATCTGAAGCAACCTAATGTTTACATGCCAGTCATTAATAATTAGAACTGTAATACTCAAAATAGCTTAAATGTTATTTGTAAATATTTTATTATATTATATTATATTACTAACCTGATGGTTTGCCCTTTTCCTATCATATGCAAATGTGTAAAGTTTTTAGCATAAAACAAATCTGTTGAAGTCAATTTGAGGCTTTGTGGTGCACAAACATGAACTGTACTGTACATTCAGCAATCAATGAAGATTAATAAAGAGTTTGCTTTATATTTTTGACACATATGTACATTTCTATGTACATTTCTGAAATGCACTTTCTGTAAAGCTGCTTTGAAATATGTATTGTGAAAAGCGCTATACAAATCAATTTGAATTGAATTGAATTGAATTGAACATAGCACCATTTGATTTCATGTGAACAAATAGACATTTAAAGTCATTTGGAGAACCGAAAGTAAATAAAAGAAGAAATAAGAAGAAATACCGTTAAAATAAAAGAAAATACAGTGTCATTCCACCCTGTCTTGGTTTTGTCGATTGTTCATATTCTGCCCTCTGCTGGCAAAAAAAAAAAGGCAGTTTTGAGGACACGAGGAGAATTTCATTAACCTTATTTGATCTAATATAAAAAGTAGTTTCTACAACTGATGTTGGATTTAAGGGAGTTCTAAGACCAGGACTAGTTTTTTTTCAGTTGATATTAAGGCAGTTTAAAATTAATCTAAGTTTATAGTTAGGATAGATTGGAGATGGTTAGGAGGCAACTTCTGTTTGTGCAGGTCTACACAATTGCATGGAGTGCCCAGCAGGGAGAGACAAAAACCACAAGAATATATTCAAAGAATTGCTACCACAGAAGGTAAAATAACTAAATAAAATAATATATTACGGTTATTAAGGCCATTTGCCCTTCAGTCCTGGAATGCTGATTGTAGGTCTGAACTGTGTTTATGAGAGGATCAAATAGACACTTATAAATCTACAATTTGTGCTTTGGAACAACCCATAACGGTTTCAGTGATGTTTATGTGGGATTAGGGAAGACATGGAAAGCATGACTTCATTCTGGAGCTCCATTTCTAGTGGGAACCATTGGACCTTATGACCCCACTAAATAGATGTTTATGTGGATGGATGTAAATTGTGGGTTGACCGTTGACGCCATCTTTTGACTTTTTCTGAACATTATATTATAATATTCTGAATATTATTATTATTTTAATTCTCTACAAATGTCATTTGTATGCTTTTTTGTCATTAACCAATATTTGTGTGTGAATAATAATAATAATAATAGCAGTTCACAGAAATTCATAATTTACTGAAATGTCATATAGGCTAATATAAAAGTTTTAACAGTTCTTGATGACAGATTGCAAAGAAGGAAGCCTCTAAAAGCCCAGCACAAAATGATGGATTATTTTTCTCTTAAGTTTTTGGTTAGTTTTCTCATAAATAGCCAATTCGAACATGAAAACATAATCTGACTATTTTGCTTTATTATTTTTCTTCTTCGTTATTTTCTTTTGTTATTTAACAGTGCCAAAGCACAATGTGATCCAAACTACCATGGTTCTTTTTCCCTTCTCAATAGAAATTTAGTCTTATTTTGATGCAACTAGGCTAATCTTTCACAGTAAATGTAATTGCTTGTGGTTGGTGTGTAATCATTGAAACAAACAGAGAAGATATCATTTCAAACAAGTCATAAAAACTTAGGGAAGTACATGCTTATGGAAATTGGCTTTGATTGAGGCAATTTCAGTTTACAGTTGACAGCTTAATAGCCAAATTTAATGCAAATAATTCAGCCACAGAGAGACATTCAGCTGAGCGAAGATGAGATTTCACAGCTACTTTAAACCTACATAGGCCTACTACTCTGATAACAAAAATATAATAAGTGACAAATTGATATTCCCACTCCCAATGTAAATGTAGTGCTGATTTTTTTATTAAAATATTTCAGACATAATAAACAAATAAAATGTTTATTTTCATTGCTAATAGCCTATATTTTATGTAAAATTATTTTTCATATAGCCTACAATAAAATATTTTCCAGTTGGTTTACAAAGCTCTACATAATCGCAGAGTAGCTACATAGGCTTGTTGTACATATAAAGATATATCAATTTAATTTATATGTTGTTAAATCACTGCAAGATTTGCGTGGATATGAACATTTATGCATGAATACTCAATTTACACTGAAATGTCACACTTCAGCCTCTTGTATTCCAGCGAGGAAACCTGACTTCTCGCGGGATCCTCCCGTTGAAATATCGCGGAGGCAAATCTAAGAAAGGTGGAGACTTCGGGATAACTTCCTGCACAGTACTCTTAAGAATCATACCTCACAGTTTAACACCAGGCCGACATTTAAACCAAGTCGAATGGATTAATAGCGCAAATAAACTCGCTAACAAGCACTTCACCAACACGATTCCACGCACAAGGATTTACTGCTAGCATTCAGTCTGCTAGCTAACATCAGCTAGGACGGCAGATTGTACACATCAGATCAAGACGGTCTCGTATCGAAGGACAGTATGGGTGAGTTCAACTCGCTTCTTTTGGATCAGCTACAGTGTCACTTCGCGTTTCAGCTTCCAAGGAAACAGCGCGGACGAGTCACTTCAGCGTCATTTACAAAAATGAAACTGTATCCAAGTTGAATAAAGGAGAAATAAAAACTTATGATCAAATGAAAATTTGACTAGGCGCCAGTGTCGCAAACTGGCTAGGCTTGTCTAAACCAGTAAATTCCATTCGTTTTGCGTCATCATTAATGATCCCTGCCCTTCCACTACACTATTATTGTTTACCTTTCGGATGTAAGTAGCGTTGACTTTGTTTGATTGGTTTTAAAGCAGTTTGTAGTTGCTGTGGCTCTGTTCCAAAGAAGCCCCCTTAAAGGTGTACATAGTAATTTTTTTCAATTGATGAATACAATTTTACGTTTAGATAAATACACTGTACTTTTGACAGGTCCATTACAAAGATGTACACTCACATAAGATAAAAAAAATCCAGACCATGTCAGTTTTCAAGAAAAAGCTATTTTATTTAAGAAGAAGCGGGTCGCCCCCTTAAGGGCGCCGTCATGTTTACATCACATGACCTCCTGTGCCATTAATAGAGTAGAGTTATATACTATTATTAATAACAACAATAACTGGTGTCATTATCAAATCCAAAACCACTGGTACGATTAATAAGAATCCGCTAAATGGTAGCAGCTAACAAAAACTAATAAGAAGCACCTCCCTCTAGCAGTTAGGTAGGTATTAGGTAAACAAATATTATAGTGGAAAACGTCAGGTTACAGTACCTGTTCTGCACTGTCATGCTCTTTTGCACGACTCCGCTGGTTTGAATAAAGTGCAAATGTTATGAGTTGTCTACAAATCCTCTTTTGAGTTAGGTTCATTTCCATTTTTACTCCTCTCGATTTCAGGTTGTTGACTCCAATTAAACTTACTGTATTCTCATTAGCAGTTACTTTTATTGTACTTCTAGATTTAGTGAGGGAGTCCGTGGTGTGTTTGTTTTATTGGCTATGTTCTCCGTGAGGTGACCAAGACTTTGGCTCATGCTAGTATTGTTAGTAGCCAGAAGCGATTTGCACATTCAAAAGTACATTTTTATGACTGGTAAAAATGGCTGTTGGTCAACTTTCTTAGATCTTTCTTCATTACCCATGTTATAGTCTGAATTATGGGTTTTATGTGAAGTCAGCTCCTGGTATAACACCCTAGGGCAGAGTTTTTGATCTCGAACACACAACCTACTTAAGATACTGTAGTGGAAGAGGTGTTTGAACATGTCCCTTTTACATTTTCTGTTAGTGTTTAGCCTAGTGTGTGGAAAAGCATTGACGTTTAAAGGAAAAAAGTTCTAAGGAAATGTTTGGGTTTTTAGATGTTACATGGGGCATAATGGTCATTTGTTTTCCCAGCTGTAGGTTAGAGTAAATGTCTGGCTGGCAGGCAGGTTGCTTTCGTGGCCTTGAGTGCCGCCCCCCCCCCCCCCTCTCGTCAGTAATTCATCATGTTGTCACAAAGTTATGTAAGCGCAGGACTGGAAACTGAACCCATCAGGAAGTATGGAAGTGTGTTAGAGTATACGTGTCGTGCACTTTGCACAGGTGCAAGTGGACATCGCTTGGTCATGTCAGGTCTTGACTGCAGACAGTGCAGGCGAAATGAAAATAGGTGAATGTTTCATACTGTGGTTTCAAATGGGATCTTTAAAACTGATCTATTCTTCTTACTCTCATGTGGGAATATTGTTCACAGGTCTTGTGATTTTGTTAACAGCTAAAGTGTGGACTAATAATTTTTAGTTGATTAGCAGTGGACTTTTACTTTGTCTGTACTAAAAGTCTGTTGTAGTTTGCATATTTCTAAATGCAATGATTTTAATTGATTGATCAACTACATTCTTTTTGCCAGCAGGACACTCGTGTAGCAATGCGAATTGTATAGAATTGACTTGAGCCATTCTTGTCCAAATTCCATCAACTAATCTTTTAGGACTAACTGCACTACCGTTCAAAAGTTTGGGGTTGGTAATATTTACTTTAATGTTTTTGAAATAAGTCTCTTTTGTTCACCAAGGTTACATTTATTTGATCAAAAATACAGTTTAACAGTAATATTGCAAAAATATTATTACAAATTTAAAGACCTATGTTGTCTAGGGGTGTTGCAATATCGTTTCACAATTGTCACACGTTGATACTAGTGACAATCTGTTTTGTGTAGTTCACCCAAAATGAAAATTACTGTACGAGAGGAAAAAAATCTTTACAGAGTTTGGTGTTTTTTTTGGTGTCAGTAGTATATTAAACTACTATATAATGTTAAATATAATGTATTAGAATGCAATGGGGGAATATTTGTGGGTCATCATTATAATGCCAAATGTCTTATGTTACCAGTAAAAAATGGCCTACATTATTTTAAATGTATATCTACTCAGAGTGGAAGCACATTCGTCTAAAATAATTATGTATTTTCAGCTTCAGAATCATCAATATTTTTATTCTGGTGTGACCATTGTCCTGTGCATTGGGTTACCAGCTGCACCAAGTCCAAGTCTATTCATTTCCACCCCCAATGTAATACCAAATGTAGCATTTTAATCAACAGTTATTTTTTTGTTAACCTTTTACCTTGGAGTATCGCAATAATATTGTATCGTCGTGATATGTATCGAATCGTGACATGAGGGTATCGTTACACCCTAATGTTGACTATAACTAACTGTCTAACTTAAAATGTATTAAAAAAATTATTTGAATAGAAAGAACAGCATTTGTTTGAAATAGCCTTGATTTTTTTTGTAAAAATGTAAACGTGTTTACTGTCACTTTTGATCATTTTAATACTTCCTGAATAAAAGTATTAATTTCTTAACAGAAATCTTACTGTTGTAGTTCAGTTAAGAACCATTATGATCGATTCAGTGAGAATGATTTGTCTGATTTGAACTGATAACATCACATAAAGTTCCTCATGCACTCATTTCTTTTGCCGTGCCACTATTCAGTAGTGGTGAAGGAGACACTATCAAGAGTGCTTCAGTATGGTGTTCCTTCCACATTAGTGGAATAATTCAGATGGTAATGAACTGTTAATAATAACCAATGCTTGAAAATAATTTTGTTTAAATATTTTTATAAAACAATATAGAACCAGTTCTCCATGTATGAGAATCACTGCTCTTGACATCATGCAAAAAAACAACAACCCCAAAGCTGAAAAATGTAAAGAATGTCAGCAGCCTCTCCCTGCATGCTGACTACTGCACTAGTTATTGTGCCAAGTGATTTTGAAGAAAGGAGTCTGAAGTATGTATAATAATCTTATATTTGATTTTGTGTTTGACTGACATGCTTGAGAATCTTGGACGTGGTCTCAGACTTTGGCCCCAGTGTATTATTTTCTGAACCAAAGAAATCAAAAAGGAAGCTTCATGTTTGACTTTGAGGAGTATCAGGCTAGCTTGCAAATTGAGCCGAAATAATTGTCCTTTCAACAAAAAATAATAACTTGTTGTTTAAGGTCTTGATGCTGGTAGTTGTTGCCATATTCCACGTTATAAAAGGCCTTTATAACTTGACCTTTTCATGATTGAATGTTGGAGAAAAAAACTCTTTCTTGGAGGGCTGTAGGAACTTCCCTTCTGGTTGGTCTAAATTCTGCTTCCTCCTGTGTAAATTTCAAATCTTTAAATGAGAACTAGTTTATTCACGGTGTGTGTGTGTCAGCCAGGGTCTTCTTGATTAGCTAAGTCCAAACTGCTTGAGGGGACTATGAGGTTGAATTGAAAAGAAGTGTCCCATTAGGTGCTCTATTTCTTCCAAGCTCCAGTCACATATTGATTGTATGTGTGTGTTTTTGTTTAATGTAGTAGTTTTATTTTATTAAACCACTGACCCATTTAACGTCTGACTTCCCACTCTGGTTCACAACACACACGACTCGTCTGGCGTGCACTTCTACAGTTACCATATGCTCTAAAAAATTAGTCTGTGGATGTTGGAGGTGGTCAGCACATGGTTTTTAAAAAATACAACCTATGCACATTTCATTTACGTTCAGTATCAAGGATGTTTTCAGCAGGAATTTAGATTTAGAGATGGGAAGTCATTATTCTAATACTAATTAGTCTTGCATAATCAGACTTTTGACTATAGGTGGAAAATCTGGACCAAGAGCTTCCTATTTGTACTGACATAAATGTTAAGAAACCAACCCCAGTTTTTATTTATTTATTGAACATAGGTCGGATGAGAGGTTCAACAGACAACATTGAAAACAATTGTTAAACTAAAAAAAAAAAACAGCATGCATGCCAGCCTAAGGCAAAGACTGACTTTTAAACGTTGTAGTCAACATTTTTCATAATATAGATAGCCTTCAGTGTTTCCTCTACATTCATTCTGCCGTGGCGGGCCGCCACACCTAAAATCATCCCGCCACGGCTGCAGCTTCTCAGTGAGGTCCGATATTGTGCATACTATTGTGTTATTGTCAAGCTAAAGGCATAAAAAACATTGTAAAGCACCATAAAGTTTTCGCACTATATTCCAAGACTTCTAAAGTCATTCAATAGCATAATGTGAGGTAAAAATGAATATTTAAGTCGTTAAGTTAAAGTTAAAGTTAGTGGCCAATGGGAATATCACTCATGGGCCACGCAAAAAATAATGGGGAATGGGCCTGCCACCACGGCTGGAAAAAATCCTAGAGGAAACACTGGCCTTGTATTGAACTTACTAGGGCTGCACGAATTCGGAAAAAAACCTGACAGTGATATTTTGTTTTCTGCAATATATATTATGATATGGAAAAAAATTAAATAAATCACCAGATGACTCGAATAGCTCTGTTTGGTAAAAAAAAAAAAAATCTAGAATGATTGGGGTGATTTTGTGGGAGTGAATCTGCATAGAAAATAGGCTAATAAACAAATTACAAGCACAGATAAATACAGTAGAACAAAGATAAAAGATTTTAAAAAATGAAATAAACAGTGCTTTATGT